ATTAGTAACAGCAAAATAAGATAACCTAAAATGTTTTTTGTAAATCAAAGTAAAGGGTAAACGGGCGAAACAGGCAGTACTCGTAATTAGCCCATTGGTGACTTAGTACAAGTGTAGCCATCTATGTGTAAAAACAATCAAACAAGTAACTCACAGTGGGCATAGCACGTACGTACACATCATGCCCGTCAGCACTGGGTTAAAAATAAGTCCCTATTTGGCAAGATTAGGATTAAGTTTGGGAGTAATTTGATTAAATTTAGGTTTTCTGTAGACTAATTTCAATGACACTATGATAGGCTAGGCTTAGTAGAGGCCATATAACATGGGATTTATGATAGCAGCCATTGAAATACAGAGAAAGTCAACTTACTATTCATAATAATAATAATAATAAGAAGAAGAAGAAGAAGAAGAAGAAAAAAAATATTTTATTGGTGGGGTGAGCATTTTGGTTTTATCTTGTTTTTATTCTTGTTCAGAAAGACTGACTGGAATTAATTTTCCTGTCCTTTTCATTATTTGCCTTGATCAGTATTTATAAAAGAAAAAGAAAGAAGGAAAGAAAGAAAGAAAGAAGAAGAAAAAAAAAACAGAAATATTGTAACAATGTATACTTTCAACATTTTTTTTCTTTTTGAATAATAATAATAATAATGATAATAATGATAATAATAATAATAATAATAATAATAATAATAATAATAATGACAATAAAAGGCATGCTCATTTTGTCAGTTTGCTTGCCTCCACAAAGTGCTTTATATAACTGCTGAAAGCTTTCAAGATATGAATGAAAGCATATCATTTTATCAATCCGATTGATCCAGAGAATGTATAGATTTTCACTTAACTGATTAAAAAATTAAGGCAGAGGAGTTATATATGGAAAGAAATTCTAAGCTATGGAAAATGGTACAGTTAAATATTTGTCAAGAGAGAGAGAGAGAGAGCGAGAGAGAGAGAGAGAGAGAGAGAGAGAGAGAGAGAGAGAGAGAGAGAGAGAGAGAGAGAGAGAGAGAGATACAATGGTTATAGTTTTTTCTTACTTTTAGTTTAATAAATTCATAACACATAAAGTAATAATATTTCTTCAAACTCAATTATATATCTTGGCATCTAGACATAAGATCTATTTTCATGCCCCTGGTTCCCCTTATTAAATCACCAAAGCTAATCACTGTGGCAATTAAAATTCTCAAAGGGTATGACCGACTCTGTGGTGCAAGAATGAAACTGATCTTACAGATTTCCCATTCATTTTTCAGTAACTGAATGGCCCAGACTAACAAACCATTATTTTGGAAACATAATAACTTACTCTAGTTCCTAATTTGAAGATAAATCACCAAGGGAGTCTACTTTCACCATATATTTATATTGCAAAGTCAAGTATAAAATATCCAGAATATCTGGTACCTTTTTCTGGAAATTAGCAAATGATAAATCCACCCAAAGCAGTTATAAAAGTTAGAAAATCCTCATTACTTAACTGGTTCCATTCAATCCAAATTCAATTCAAACCTGCTGTGATCTGTGATGGAAAGACTACCATCTGTTAGAAGAGAACTTGCATTGATACCTAAATGGACAATAATTAACCAAGTGGTAAAGCAACCCCATCTTGCCTAAGTCTATGTGGCATGGGTTTCTCAGCCTTTGCCAGAGTGCCAATAGGAGCAGAGACCAAAGTGGTTAGTGTTCAAACCAGAAGCTTGATGCGTATTAATAAGAATTACTGATATACATATATATCTTTACATAAATATGGGTGTAAGGGAAGTACATACATGAATAATACTAATAATAACAATTCGGTAAAAAAAAAATAATTTAATTACAATCATAACCATTAAAATAAAATCTAGACAATTACATCAAACATAACAAAGACTTCACAGACAACAGAAATAACCAAACCAAACTATAAAAAAACTAATGAAAATTTAAATAAATTTAAAAAGTTCCCAGTTATAACATCCTCAATGAAAATTTAAATAAAATAAAATAAAAAAGAAAAAAAGTTCCCACTTATAACAACCTCAATGAAAATAAAATAAAATATTGTTTTTTTCTCCCCGTCTATAACATCCTCAATGAAAATTTAAATAAAATAAAATAAAAAAGAAAAAAGTTCCCATTTATAACAACCTCCATGAAAATTTAAATAAAATAAAATAAAAAAGAAAAAAGTTCCCATTTATAACAACCTCCATGAAATAAAAAAAAGAGAAAAAAGTTCCCATTTATAACATCCTCAATGAAAAATAAAATAAAATAAAATATATATATATTTTTTCTCCCATTGACAACATCCTCAATGAAAATTTAAATAAAAGAAAATATATATATACATTTTCTCCCATTGACAACATCCTCAATGAAAATTTAAATAAAAGAAAATATATATATACATTTTCTCCCATTGACAACATCCTCAATGAAAATTTAAATAAAAGAAAATATATATATACATTTTCTCCCATTGACAACATCCTCAATGAAAATTTAAATAAAAGAAAATAAAATAATCATTTTTCTCCCATTTATAACATCCTCACTGAAAATTTAAATAAAATAAAATAAAATATTGTGTTTTCCCAATTATAACAACCTCAATGAAAATTAACAAAAAAGAAAAAAGTTCCCATTAATAACATCTCAATGAAAATTTAAATAAAATAAAATAAAATAACATAAAAAAAATAAACTAAAATAAAATATTTTTTTTTCTCCCATTTATAACATCCTCAATGAAGATTTAAATAAAATAAAATAAAAAGTTCCCATTAATAACATCCTCAATGAAAATTTAAATAATATAAAATAAAATAAAATAACATAAAAAGTTCCCATTAATAACATCCTCAATGAAAACTTAAATAAAATAAAATAAAATAATGTTCTTTTCTCCCATTTCTCACCGAATTTTTCATCAACTTCTCCAACTTGAGTCGCTGGAGATCCGTCGCATTTCTAACCACGGTGACTTGTTGGCTTTCCGCAGACCCTTTCTTCTCCGTATCAGACATATTTTCTTCCCATATATAACTTCCCGAGCCTTCCAGAAAGCCTTTTTTTCATATATAACTTCCCGAGCCTTCCAGAAAGCCTTTTTTTCATATATAACTTCCCGAGCCTTCCAGAAAGTCGTAGAAAAAGCCTTGGATAATGAAATGCCGGAACCGCGTGACGCAACAACAAAAATGTAAACAAGAGTGAGGGTTGTCATAGGTGCCGCGGGGAAGAATAGGCACGTTGGGTTTGTTTTGGTTCGAGGTATGTGTCTTTGTGTATATTAATGAGAGGTATTTAGCACTGTTGGTATGATGGTTGAAAGGATGAAATTAATAAAATTATAGTGATTTAAAAACCTTAGTTACTTATGATATGCATGTGTCAGTTTTCTCTGGAACTTACGGGATTGGTGATATGCAATCTGTAAAGTCTTGTGTACAAAATAGACTAATTCAATTCATCGTATTTTTTAAAAAATCTCTGAACCCCCCCAAAATAGGAATCTAAGAACTTTATCTAAAAAAAAGATACACCGAAAAAAAACTAAACAAAAAAAATCATACAAGCAAAGTGTCTATTCTTCTGCCAGAATCAAGACACATAAATAAGCCCACAGGTCCCAGCTGACTCATTCACACTCAAGACGTCACGGAAGAACGTTGTTATCATATTCCCTCAACAACCTTAATATCTTATTTTCGTGCTTTATACGTGATTTTTTTATTTTAAAGATAGTGTCGTTCGTTTCTAGTTACTTGTGAAATAACCCATAAAGTTGAAAAAAAAAAGATGGAATTGCCACATATAGGAACTAACTGTGCGGAACCAACCTGTAGGCAGCTTGGTAAGTCTCTCAAGGATCTTCCTGTTTCTTTTTTCTTTTCCTGTTTCGTAATATATATTTGAATATTTTTTATTTATTCTTTTTTTATGGGTACGATTTCCAGATTTAGAGATGTGTGTATGAGAGGTTGCCATAAGAGAGAGAGAGTGAGAGGGATATTTATCATGGCTTCTCTCTTCCATGACAAGAGTTGCAAGTTGAAGGGGAATATATTTCGTAGAATGAATGGAAATAGATTATTAAATTGAATTAAAATGTGTTGCATTGATTGTGACCTTCGTGTGTGCCTGGTTTGTAGGTCTTGTTGGTAATTTATTTTAAGATATTCAGACCCGGACTTTAGCTATAGTTTATTCTGATGGAAATTTGGACAATATTTGATTTAAGATTATGACAAGGAGGAAAAAAAAAAAAAAAATAGAAAGCAACAGATAGAATGTAAATGTAAATATTATCTGCCATACAGCGATGCCGAAGAACTAATGAAAGAAAGTGTTTGCCTATTTTCTCTGTGGTTAAGGAACTTATATACAAATAAATTATCCTGTTCAACAAGCCTGCATAAAGTGCCATTGCACAGCTTGTCATCATCCATGGAAATGGGTTTTATTTTTTGCATTTTTCTATATCATCCTGCCTAGAAATACCCAGGAATACCCCACCAGCATATTTGCTCAGAGGGATCTGGTCCTAATAAAAAAAAGTAAAATATATATTTATATTATATTTTATATTTATATTTATATTTATATTTATATTTATATTTATATTTATATTTATATTTATATTTATATTTATATTTATATTTATATTTATATTTATATTTATATATGTATGCATATATGTATATATAGATGTATATGTATGTATATATGTGTATATGTATGTATATATGTGTATATGTATGTATATATGTGTATATGTATATATATATGTGTATATGTATATATATATGTGTATATGTATATGTATATGTGTATATGTATGTATATGTGTATATGTATGTATATATGTGTATATGTATATATATATATGTGTATATGTATATATATATATGTGTATATGTATATATATATGTGTATATGTATATATATATGTGTATATGTATATATATATGTGTATATGTATATATATATGTGTATATGTATATATATATGTGTATATGTATATATATATGTGTATATGTATATATATATGTGTATATGTATATATATGTATATGTATATATATGTATATATATGTATATGTATATATATGTATATGTATATATATGTATATGTATATATATGTATATGTATATATATGTATATGTATATATATGTATATGTATATATATGTATATGTATATATATGTATATGTATATATATGTATATGTATATATATGTATATGTATATATATGTATATGTATATATATGTATATGTATATATATGTATATGTATATATGTATATGTATATATATGTATATGTATATATGTATATGTATATATATGTATATGTATATATATGTATATATATGTATATATATGTATTTGTGTATATATGTATATGTGTATATATGTATATTTATATATATATTACCCTTTTTTTGTCTTCTAACATACAAGGAAAAGGTTTTAGAATTTTGCAGTCTTCCCATTTCATATGCTGTTTATGATGGGCACACTAACTAGGGAAAACAAATCTCTAGGATAAAGAGCTTACACTGTTTATGCATATTTATATTAACTTGTATCCTTTCCTCCTAATCCCTTGCTCATTGTTGTGGGGGGGGGGCTTAGGAGACGGAGACTGAGGCCCAATGTAGGGGATCTCTCCTACCTTGGACCTCATCCCTCGCCTCAACTAATTTTGTACGGTCTTTTCTTCTTCCCGTTTTCTTTCCTTCTCTTCTTCATCATTCCCTTTCTTCTGTCCATGTCCTAAGGTGTGAGAACCATGCTGAAAGGATGGACCTCTGGCTCTTTTTGCTTCGTTCTCGCCCTTTATACTCTTTTCACTATCTTTTTACAGTACAGTGTTCTACAATTTTATCCTGATCATTATCTCATCCATTTCGCTACGGTGCTTTACCATAGTGCTGTGTGAGCTTTGATGTCAAGTACATTTATCTCTTCTAACCATTAGCAGTTTACATTTATCCTTACCACATCTACAAGTTTATGAAGTGACTGTTTCTTGTTGTATGGTAAGGACTGAGTGATATTTTAGTACAGGCTAGTTAGAAGTTTATGCTCAAGATTTACACAAATTCGCTTAGATTTGTTAACCCATTCGCGTAAAAATGAACAAAAAGTGGGGAAAATGCTGTGCTCATTTTTTATATTATTTTGTGAAATGTCTCTACACTAGATGGCTCTGCTTTACCTGATTTCATTTGGCGGGAAAATGTATTTTTTACTATTGCTATGAATATCAATGGTTATTTCTATTATAAACATTATAATTACAGTACAAGTACAAGTGTAGCCATCAATGTGTTAAAACAATTAAACAAGGGTTAATGTTACCGAGAGCGACGCACGCAGATAGAGCAAAATGGACATTGCCATCTTGTAGAGCATCAAAAATAGAGTGGGAATCAATACATCTAAATCTGCAGCGGCCTCATATTTACCGGGAAATGACAAAAATAGGCTCTGCATGGCCCCGCTCTGAGACTAAGTCCCCATCCATGTTTACCTTGCCAGGACCAAAACAAAAGTGACGCGTAACTCATTATTGCGATCTATCAAGTAGTCCATGTATTACTACGCGCTTGTGAAAACGACTATTTTGTAATTACCAGTGTCTGTTTTTCCGAATCCATGCATTTAATGAATTCTTTTACTTTTATTATACTTCTTTTACGTGTTTTGGTAATTATTTACACTATTTTGCACAATATCCCTGTGCGCATGTGCGCTTTTCCACCGGGAGATTTGACAGTCCGTCCGCCGCCATTCGTCCCGAAACACCGGTGGGAAGTGTCACATTTTAGGTGTGTTGCGTCGATTCTGGGTCATTTTTAAAGCCATATAGTGGATATATAGAACCAATAGATATTAGTGTCTATCTCAGCCTGATACATGAGCCCAATAAGTGCCCCAAATGTCGAAAAAAGTGATTAGAAACCAAGGAATTCGGACCATAGACGGAAGGCAAGAAAAGTTCGGTCTTTCGCTATATAAAGGTATGTGGTTTTACCCTGGGGGTTAAGAGCAGAGCACCTTGGCTAGGGAATATATAGATCGTATTTTATTAAAACCACGGGGGTCCAGGGGGCGAAGCCCCCTGGCTAGGCACACACATTACTACGGGGGTCCAGGGGGCGTAGCCCCCTGGCTAGGCGCGTATAATTAGGCTAGGTTAGGTTAGGTTAGGCTAGGCTAGGCTAGGTTAGGTTAGGTTAGGCTAGGTTAGGCTAGGTTAGGTTAGGCTAGGTTAGGCTAGGTTAGGTTAGGTTAGGTTAGGCTAGGTTAGGTTAGGTTAGGCTAGGTTAGGTTAGGGTAGGTTTATATATTACTAGGGGGTCCAGGGGGCGTAGCCCCCTGGCTAGGCGCATTTAATACCACGGGGGTCCAGGGGGCAGAGCCCCCTGGCTAGGGAATAAATAGATCGTAGTGTATAAATTTCACAGGGTTAGGTTAGGTTGGTTTATTGGTTAGGACGTATTGTACGATTACCACAGGGGATCTGGATTATCTGAAATCCCGTAGATTTTTACCGATGGCTGGGTTTGATCCCCGTAGAGTTTTTCGAAAATTGGCGCGCCGGCCCGTAGAGTTTCAAATGTGGCGGGGATGTCCGTAGAGTTTTCACAGGCCGATTTTCATCGTTTTTTGTGCTTTTCGGGACGGAAATTTGGCTCGGGTTTTCGAAAAATCTACTTTTTTACGTTTCTTAAATCACTTTCTTCGATTTCTGCAGGTTTCTATCGACATCCAGCGCCATCCATTATCCCCCCCCCCCTTCAACCCCCGGTTCCCCACGCATCCCCCAAGATCGTTGGGTAGAGGAAACTTCAAAAAAATCTCATTTTGAAACTCAGTCTCTGAGAGGGGGCGTCGCTCTCGGTAACAATTACCTAAACAAGTAAACTCACAGTGCGCATGTCACGTATACGTGACGCCCGGCGTAAATGGGTTAAGGCGTTACTGCTTTTGTGTTAGTGAGTTAATCCTTACTTGTAGTTGAGCCATGTGTGTAGTTTAAACACCTATCCTAATTATTAGACTTGTAGAGGATGATATGAGGTAGTTATCATTCTCAGGTATATGTGCACTTGACACAAAATACAAAAAAATTGCCTCCTTCCCCCCCAGAAAAAAGAAATAAAGTTTACTAATGTTAGAAATATTCAAATTAAATGTTTTTAAGTTGAAATAATTGCACAAGAGAAGTCTAAAAAAAAAATTATAAGAAGGATAAAAGGATAAAGCCATTTTCAGCCAGTGAGGACAGACTTTGGCACAAAATGTCAGCCAATGAAAGACCAAAATTCCTCAAAGAATAGGTCATTTGCAACCGAAATCTAATCAGGTCTGTGTTTAATTATGATAGTCTCATTATGATAGTCACATTTCTATGGCAGATCCTGTAGAATGTATTATGCTACTGAACAACATTTTCACGCATTGGTAGGACGTAAGGAGTCTCAAGCTGGGAATTAAATGTCGACCTTTACTTTTCCATCGTGGCAAGTGGAGCCAATAGTCTTAATTCACCCGTTCATGATATAAATGGTGGATTGTTAGAGTGAACATTTTATCAGGGCAAATTGAGTCAAGGCTGAGAGTCAGAGTGCATTATTTTTCTTTCTTTTTTTTTCTTTATTATAAATACTGGTTAGATGTATTTATAAGAGGATAGATATAAGATGAATGCACCTTACTTATAAAGCCCTCTCACTCAGGGAGACTACATGAAATATCTACAGTAGTTGTGCTTCATTAATTTTTGTTTCCTCCACAAATGCTCAGCCACCAAGGAGTCAATCAGTAGGTCCAGTGTAAACTCCCCATGCATTGAATTTTCAAAGTAGCCTAAAGCTTTTTTTCTCAATACTATTAATAGTGAAATATTGTTATTACTGACATAAAATAGTAAGAACTAGTAATTGATTCCATGGTGACTATGCATATTTGGAGCCATCTAAGTGTAAACAATATTGATAAACTAAAATCATAGAAGACCATCCCAGGATCAATGGTTTATAAGTGTCTTTGTATTTTCTGCCTCAGGTTATCTCATACTTTAGTCTGTGATCACAGAATTACCTAATAACATTTATAAAAAGTATTTTAATGATATACTTTGAAGGGGATGACTGAACTCCTTTCCCTTTTGTTGTGGTAAATGTTTACGCATGCATGCACCATTGGGCTACACGCCTATTGCTGTGGCCTTCATGCCTGTTGGTTATGTATCAGCGAATGTGGAAACAATTCAGGCTCTTCCTTTCCATGATATTCCTAATGAAGGTTTGATAGCATTTGCCAGCATGCTGTGTGGAGAGGCTATGATGGAGGGTTCTAGTTGAATGTATTGTAGATTAAACAACAAAGGGATGAACTGGAAAACACATAGATAATTCAGGGTCCTTTCTCGCTGTATTTCGTTCCTCCGTTCCCCAAAGAAGCAGTGTACAGAAAAGGCCTTCTGCATATTCATGTGTTTTCCTCTTCTTCCTTTGGTTGTTTTGAATACAAAGGCCTTGGTGATTGCTTGGCACCGTGCCATTACCAGCTTGGCTCTATGATTGTTGGTTTACCTTTTCAGATTGCTAGACATTTTCAGTGCTTTTAGAATGCCCCACTTTGAAAGCTGTTCCTGTTGACTTGCAACATTTTTCCGTTATTCCATTTACTTTTTTCATTCATCTGGCTTTAAAGTCTTTGTTGCAAAATTCAAGAGCATTATATTTATCCACTTTTTTTTTCTGTTTCAGATTTCCTCCCATTTACATGCAATATGTGTAAAAAGGAATTCTGGTAAGTAGTTGTGCTTTCCTCTTTTGCGAAATTCTGTGAAATTGGTTTTTATTTGATTCATAGGGGAATATGATTCATTGGGTTTTGATGGGTGTTGGATATGATAATCAGGAGAATAATTGTCTCTCTCTCTCTCTCTCTCTCTCTCTCTCTCTCTCTCTCTCTC